TCCATGGAGATTTGCTTTTGTCAAAAAAATATAACAATTTACTATTCATTATCATTCTGGGGGGGGGGGGGGGGTAATCACCAGCCATAGGGTGGCATTTGAAAAAAAAACATGTTGGGGTAGATTTCTGCCACCCCTGAAGAGTTATATTCTCCATATTTTTCGCAAAATGTTTGAGAATACCTTGAAACGTTGACCTGTCCCGCGTATTTTTAGGAAAATAATTCACCTCTCCGCTATTGAATTTATTTCAGTTACAGTCTCTACCCTGTATACCCTGTCATGTCTGTGGTAAGTTAGTGTAGTAGCACTTAGTATTAACTCAATAACTATAACTGATTGTGGCACTTTTGTCCTGTACTATTATTGAAGTTTTCCATTATATTATCTATTCATTGTTCGTGATATGAGAGGTTAGGTATATTTTCATCGAGTTGCTATAGTTATTTTCCTACGTTAGAATCATTAACGATAGCAGTTTTTGGTTGCACTTAGTACTTAGCCAACGACGCGATAGTGAAATTGTTTCTGTCATACGGGTCAGCTTTGTAAGTTAACGTTTTCATATATTTTTAATGCGATCTGAAATAATATAATAGTATTAGTATATGTTGTAACAAGTGTTATAAACATCATTTCAGTAACGAGTATTTTAAGCACGAGCGTAGCAGAGCGGGGCGAGTGTTTAATAAACGAGTGTCGAGAAGAGTTTATAAACGCGCTACTTACTATACTTTTTCTACGAACTCATAATTCATCTCTTCGACAAGATCCCATATAACCGAAAATAGATTTGCTAACCTACAAACTAATTCGACGGGAATGGGAATAGAGGAACATAATACATAATACTATGCACTTGGTTGTAGATGTGATAGAATACATGAATTTGAAGTTCTTGTTTACTGGCCTTTGTGAATAAGATTTCATCTGACGAAGTAGATGAAAACTATTCGATTCGCTGGGGTGTCAAAGATTTCGATTTCTCAGGTTTATATCCATATTGTTCTGATTGCATAATTTAGCTCACATGAAAATTGTGTTTTACTTTTATTTTCATGCTTAGCATTGAATGAATTGCCCACAAAGATGCGAGGTTCAGAGTTCTTGGAAATATGCAAGTACTTACCTAAAACATTCTCTTCGATTTCACTTTCGTCTACATTTCGCATAGATTTTCAATGAAGAATTCTGATACGAACAGAAATTGTTTGAATAATTCTGATTGCAACAAAATTCGATAATGACAAATGACAAATGACAGTTCCTACAATTGACATGCCGGACATGACTCAAACGACTGAGGGTGTATTTAAAAAACTCAGTTGCCATGATAATGTGTTTGAGATACCGTGTTGCCATGGTAACGTTTTTTATATTTAATAATCATAATGTTGAGAAGCTGAATTGGTAGAGTTCTTACAACTATTTCATATGAGTACTTAGTGCAAGACACTGCCATGTCTCTGAATCTAAATAAAAATCGCTTATCCTGAATATCCTGATCAGGATAATGGAACATAACTATCAAATTGTGATATTGTCATCAGTCCAGTGTGTGAAGTTTCAATTCAATTCGATGTTTTCAAGTGGGTCAGAATCACCCGTTTCTCTATTCATTCATACGAGTACTTGGTGCGAGACCAGGGTTGGCAAATATCATGATATTTATATATATATCAAAATATCATAATATCGGATATATATCCGATATATATCAGAAATTTCGATTTTGTTCCTAGGCTGATATGCCAAAAAAAACACAATATAAAATACCTTTATTTTGTTAAAAACAAAAAACAAACTTCAGTTTAATTCTCGGTTTAATTTGAAATAACAAAACACGAAACAAAAAATAATATTTTTCCGAAAATATGTAATATATGGTAATATAAAAAACTTGTCGTTTGATAAATTTTTAAGGATTGCAAAACCAGGAAAGAGGAATATAATCATCATTATCAATATTATCATCTTCACTCAAGGCAACTAATTCATCATTCGACGAGATCCAGTCCAAGCTTTTGGCTTTTTTATCTGTATTTGGTTTTAAACATTTAAAAATAAATACTAGCTTACTGGCTTTTTCGTTGCCTAGACGATTTCTTAATTTAGATTGAACTATTCCAAAACTCGAAAAAAATTCTTTCTAAATCAGCTGTTGCCGCTACTGCACTGAATAACTGCTCACATAGTTGTAAGAAGAGTTCTTTTTTGGCCATTCCGAGTCAGGAATTGCAGCCGATTTCCACCAAATCGTTGTGTGCGTGAGGCCTGTTTGTTTGTATTGCTAAACTTCGAGCTAAACTTGCTGAAGTTGATTCTTTTTCCATAGTTGTCTGTTCATGGCATGATGTAAACAAAGTAAGTCATAGAAAAAAATCAAGTTCAGCAGGTAGAGCAAGGACAAATGAACACGCCTGATGTACCATGTACCTAACAAGCAGTAAACAAAAACCGGGGATTCCCCGAGTTGTAAGTTATAACCACGAAACGCACTGTTGTCACGTATTCATTTTTAACGCAAAATATCAAGGATTTTTTGCTCCGGTATTTATTTTGTTAAAAAGAAGTAAATGATATATATCATGATATATATCAATCAATAAATATCAGATATATATCATGATACATATCATGATATATATCACTTGATATATATCGGCCAACCCTGTGCGAGACACTGCCGTCAGAACATCATTCACCATTTCTTCGAGAAAATTGTTCATCCTGAAGATCCCAATCATGATAATAATGAAACAAAACTATCGAATTATGCTACTTTCATCGGTCCTTGATAAGTGTGCGAAGTTTCAATTTAATTCGACGTTTTCAAGTGGGTCAAAATCACCCGTTTCTCGATTTATTCATACGAGTACTTGGTGCAAGACACTGCCATCTCTCTGGATATAAAAAGCTATTCGTAGGAATAAAAACGAACATTCGAAAATTTGGTGGCGGAACTTTGGAATTCTGGTGGCAGAACATCATTCACCATTTTGTTCGAGAAAATCGGTCAACCTGAAGATCCCGATCATGAGATAAAACTGACAAAACGTATGGGGTTATAGGGCCTGCCAATATCATTGCAAAATGCCCTATACAAAAGTTTCGAACCGCTTCGTTACTGGCATACAGGGTGATTTGTGGATTTTGACAAAAATTCAATCTGCCATATCAAATACAGGATCACCCGATTGGGTTCAAATTTGGTAAATGAATCAAACTCAAAGGCTTCAATAAGTAGCCTTCTGAACATAACAATATCAGAACCGGAATATATATTGTTTTCCTATGTTGAGTTATTGTGACAATAACTCATCCTGTATAATAATTATCAAAAAGCTGAGGTCATATTATGAATCTATACGGGAAAAATACTTGTTGAGAACGTTTCTTCCACAATCTCAGTCATTCCGTAATATTTTTTTTTCATTAGCTGTCGGCTAAAATACCATTAGAAATGGAAATATGATGAATATTTACGAAACCAAGGCATAATTATTGTTCTTACTGTCTTTGATTATTTCGTAGAAATATTTTATAAATCACACTCGTAACCTGAAAAAACTGAAGAATATATTCGTATCAGGATCGGAATGACTCTTTTTCATGTTTTCGTAAGTACCTACAGAGTTTCCCTAAAAAGTCACTACAAAATCTCGACATATATTCCTGAGGTCTGAATAAGCCGATTTGAACCAAATTGTCCCTGTCCGAAATGGCTCCATTTCTGAGATACAGGGTGGAAAATTAAAAGAGAAAAATTTTCGAATTTATCAAAATAATTCAGAGATTCCCTGATTCACTACAATGTTTTCATCGTATCCGAATCATCAACTATCACTCATAACAGGAAATAGGTCGATCATCAGTCTATTGTAATTTTAAGATTCCAGGAAAATTTGCTTCCCTATTCAGGTATATTTAAGTATTATACCTGCTTCTATTATACTAAATGATCATTCATCAATTTTGAAATAATATTTACCTACGGCCACTATAGAAAGTAGGCACAGTAAGTAGCTTTTTACGCACAGTAAGCACATCGCACAGTTTTTCTTTATTCCACCAGTATAGGTATGTCATGATCGCGTAATCGCCGTCAACAGCGGATGACATAACTGTCAAGACTTATAATACATACTGTTTGTCCAAACTTTTTTTATGTACTATACAGGGTGTTATTTAAGTACGTGGCCAAACTTGAAGGGGTGATTCTTCGAGTGATTCTAAGACGAAAAGTTCATATAAACATAGGTCCGGTAATGCTCCGTATTCAAGATACAGGGTGTCAAAATTTTTAAAAGAAATCGTTTTTTTCGTAAATATCTTGATAACCCTTCAACCGAATTTATTGAATTGGCAGTGTTATTCAAGGTCGTAAAGGGGTGAGACCCCAGTTTTTGATGGTTTAGTAGTTGAAATGGACGGAATGCTAATTTTTCACCCTCGTGGGAAATCACTATCATCCAGTGCTCGTTAAACAATATACTATTTTTCAACTTCAAGTACCTACTGATACAATATTGATGATGTATATTTTGTGATTGCAGGAAGAATCTGAGTGGATCAATTCTTTTTTTTAGAAAATCAGGGGAGAGGCATCTGCCTCCCTCTGACCCTTCCCCTGAATGATGCCCATGTCAATTTAAAAATTTTGCCTGAGGCCAAATTTGTCTACCCACTAGAATTTTTCATATGAATTGTTGCGACATATAATGACATAAAATGAAATTCAAAATTATTGAATTCGTTTCTAATTTGTGTAATATGTCATTCTCCACACTATAGTTGTGTTATCAATTATTTGATATGCTTTTTATTTTGCAGACAACTATGTCCATTGGAAATATGATAAATGATATTTAGAGTGATGAATTCGTTTCTAATTTGTGTATAATATGTCATTTTCCACACTATATAGTTATGTTATCAACTATTTGATATGCTACATTATGGTGGTGACTCTCATTTTGCTTTTTGTTTTGCAGACAACTATGTCCATTGATGGCCACAATGTCAAGATAATACAAACTATACGAGGCCATACAAGTGATGTCACCTGCTGCGATTTCGCGCCAAATTTCACTTTAATCACTGGATCTAGGTAGGTAAGGCATAAAAACTGTTTGACACAATAAGATGAGTGGGTTTCAAAAAAATTTCAACTCCAATAATTTCCATCATGAGAATTCGATGCAAGCAGTACCTAGTTGATTTCATATTTTCATTTCAATTTGTATCTCTAAATTAATTGATTGGTATTTCTTCAAATATCAGTATAAATACAGGGTATTTCAGGATGAGCTTATACTATCTTTATATCGAGAATCAGTCGGAAAAAATTCATGAAAATGTGCTTGCTTATATTTTAGAATACGCTTTCTTCATTTAAAATATTTTCGACAATGCAGTGTTGCCGCTTCTACTAGAAAGTAGTAGCAACATTGATATCTCAAATGGAAACACGTAAATGAACGAAACTGGTAGATAACGAGTGAAAAACAAAAAAAAAACAATGCGCAACTGCAACTCTTTCTTTCCTAAATGCTGAGTTGTGCTTGAATTGTCATGTTCATGACCAGTTTCGAGCGGTGGCTCTCATCAGTGCAGGGGTGTCCCCAGATAGCATTCATAACCGCAATTGGGTGCGAACCTGACCCAACGTAAATACCTCTCAGCATCTTGGGAAGAAGCGATCAGTATATGTTTGGTTATCTCATTGTCGTTTTAAATGAAATATTTAATAGGCAAGAGGTATAATATTGTGCAAAATCACCCTCATTGACCACATTTTCAGTAAGCCAGTGACCTCTATGCCGAAATTAATGGGTTACTCTGTCGCAGCTATCCCGTGTTCAACGAAGAGAAGAACTACTTTCCTGGCTATATGCCAAGCAGAACATTGAATTACATCCACCCGAAAGCTATGCAACGATTTGCATAAACGAATATAGTTGCAAGTTTCGAGCTTTGGCTCTATGCAGGGGTATCCCCAGATGGCATTCATGATGGCCATCTGGTGCGAACCTGACCCACCGTAAACACATTCCAGCATTTAATACACACATGCCCAACTGGCGTGATTTCAACAACTAAAAAGCCAACATGCACAAATTGGAATAAAATGTTGAATAAATATACAAAGCTCAAAGTCATTGCCACAAATGTTCGTAAATGAACGAAAGAAGAAGAAAAACAACTACTTTCCTGGCTATATGCCACGCAGAACATTGTATTACATCTTTCCGAAATCTATACAACGATTCGTATAGGCGCAACTGCAACTGTTTCTTTCCTATATGCTGAGTTGTGCTTAAATTGTTCATGAACACTTGACTATCTACAGACCAGTTTCGAGCGTTGGCTCTCATCAGTGCAGGGGTGTCCCCAGATGGTATTCATGACCGCTATTCGGTGCGAACCTGACCCAATGTAGATACCTCAGCATCTCGTGTTTGTTAATTTCTTCTTCTTCTTCTTTCAGCGACAAGACCGTCCGGATATGGGACTGGACCGGCGGCAGAGGCTACACAGAGCGCTCGTGCAGTCCGCTGCGCGCGCACAAGTACCAGGTGACGTGCGTGCGAGCGTCGCCGCAAGGCTCTATGTTGGCCAGCGCCTCCGTCGACGGCACGGCGGTGGTGTGGAGCGTCGCGACGTGCGCCCGGCTCTACACGATGACGCAGGTGAACGGGGACGCCGTGCGGGTGTGCAGGTGGGTGTGGGGTGGGGGGCGATTGCGGGTGGTTAGGCGGTGCCTGGCCTCAAATACAACAATTGGATACAAACAGTGTGAAACTGCGGTTGGTGTTTGATGTGAGGGGCGGCAAAGACTATCACATAAACTCAAAACAGAGATATTCAGACTGTTTTTCGACTATCAAATTTTCTATCCTTATAACCAACTATCCTTGATACAAGGAACTTGTACAGAGTATTTTACAAAGTTTTAAAAAGTCTCAAATATGAAATATCGTGTGATGTACCCACTATACTCATTGTGCCATCTTAGACATTCCACCGATTTTCATTTTATTATTTGATGTACCTAGTTCAACAAAATAACATCACTACACAGCTTTTTCAAGGTTGAGTTCATAAAAACTCATAAACATAAACTTATTTCGAACTTCGTCCATTATTTTCTACTTTGAAATAATGGTTTTTCGTGTTTTTTTTTCAAATTATTTCTGAAATTTTTTTGTAAAAATAAATGAGACGATTTATGCTTCTTACTATTAAATACGATTCGGAAAAGGTGTGCAAGTGGGTGTGGGGTGGGTATGGGTGCTTAGGCGGTGCCTGGCCTCAAATACAATACAAGAATTGGATACAGACAGTGCGAAACTGCTGATCACGGTTGATATTTGACGTGAGACGACGGCAAAGACTATCACATATCACATAAACTCAAAACAGAATTATTCAGACGATGATTCAGCTATCGAATTTTCCATCTTTAAAACCAACTATATACTCTTGATACGAGGAACTTTAGAGTATTTTACAAAGTTTTTGAGAGTCAAATATGAAATATTGTGAGATGTAGGATGGTGTCCGAGTGTAGAAGTGCCTTAGAAAATATGGCAAAAACTAGGAAAGTGAGCCTCATGTGGGTTCCAGGACACTCTGGGATCCCGGGGAACGAGGAGGCAGACAGACTAGCCAAGATCGGTTCAGGAACGACACCCATTGGACCAGAACCGATATTGGGAATACCCAATAGTACGGCTATGTCCTTCATGAAGGAAATGCTACAGAGGCAGTTCCTTGAAACATGGTGGGACACACCAGGAATGAGACAATCGAAGCTCCATATAAAGGAACCTTCAAAAAGGCTCACGAGAGAGATCCTGTCACTTAATAGAAGGGATCTCAAGATGGTAGTTGGGCTCTTAACTGGGCACAACCACCTCAACAGGCACCTAGAACTCATAGGGATCAAAGATGATCCCATCTGCAGATGGTGCTTGGAGGATGATGAAACATCATCACACATACTCACTGAATGCCCCGCGCTGGTGCATCAGAGGAAAGCTGCCTTTGGAAGCATTGTACTGCACCCAAAGGATGTGAAAGTGACTCAGCTGAGGAAGCTGCTGAATTTCGTCAAAGAAATCGGCATGCCCAGCTGATTCACATGACATGTGGGCGCACAATGGGCCCGACTGAAGAGGCCTGAGTGCAGGGGTCTACGTACCCGCCCACCTGTGCAGAAAAGAAGAAGAAGAAGAAGAAGAAGAAGAGATGTAGGATGATTCACCATAAATATCCCCCCTCATATATTTTTGAACCGATCTCAAAATATGAAGAATCATCCAGAATGATTTCTTATGATTTTTTTCGCAACACTAGAAAATACACGGTGCTCGAAACAAACGATCTACAGGGTACTAGTTGATTTTTTTCAAATAGGACCCTGTATTGCATCGCATTCTTAGATCCTCCCTGAAGAGATAATTTCATGAATGGATCACACTTGGGGTCTAGTCAGCACCTCAAATCGAGCACGGTTCGGCGTTTCGGGAAGAAGGGGTCAGTATGCACAATAGATAACACCTCGCCCCCACCTGACGGTAACAACTTGAACACTTCTGGCAGGTCTCCTTTGATAATGTGATCATCAGCCAAAACAAAAAAAAAAAGTGAACCAATTGAAACAAAGTAAACTTTGACAGCTGTCAAGAACTTCTATAGAGAGAGAAACTCAAAGTCATTACCACAATAGTTCATAAAATGAACGAAAATTGTAGACAACGAGAGAAAAACAACTACTTTCCCGGCTATATGCCACGCAGAACATTGGATTATATCCTCCTGAAATCTATGCAATAATTCGTATACACGAATAAAATCGCTAAACGCCGAGCTGCGCCTAAATGGTTCAGGGGCGCGTGACTACCTGCAAACCGGTTTCGAGCTGTTGGCTCTCATCAATGCAGGGCTGTCCCAGATAGCTTCTTCACCGCTATCAGGTGCGAACCTGACCCAACGTAAACGCATCTCAGCATTTGTATCCCACGAGGCGTTCAACGTCCGCGAAATGAACGCAAACGCCGATGAACGCCACCTGGCAAGGAAAGGAAAACTCCAAAACAAGATCATTTCAGGTTAAACGAAAGTGGCTGGTTGCCCGACTGGCAATAATCAAAGTGGAATGCAATGGTCACAAAGAGAGAGAAACTCAAAGTCATTACCACAATAGTTCATAAAATGAACTGAAATGGTAGATAACGAGAAAAAAACAACTACTTATGAAATAATTTACTCATGACGATTGTTTACTAAAAAATTATCGAACTTGTTATACCTACAGAAGCCGCATTGACCCACACGTGGCCAACCAAACTCGTTTATCAACGATAAAATTTTTGACATTCAAAACGTCAATGATTATGATGGATGTAGTCTACGCAACTCTCGCGAGGCGCTCGTTCATTGTCTCAATCATGAAATCGTCATACGAATTCAACTCGTGATACTATTTTTTCTGGAGATATCCATCTGTTGACATACTCCAGCTTGCTGCTTCAATTTTGCTTATAACATTGTTCCAAAACTTATCGCCTACGGCTCGAAAGTTTTGATAAACAATGTAATTCGCGAAATTATTGGATATATAGAATATAGAATAGAATAGAATAGAATAATGTTTATTCGCAATGTATAAGAAGTGTTGATATACAAACCTAATGGTGAACATACCTATATATAAAATTGAGGTAAGAGTAATTTAATTATACGAATACAATACTGAAACGAAAATGATAATTGAAAATTGGGAGTGAACATTAGCAGAATAAACATGACAATCACAGAAGCTGTAGGCCAGCTTGTAGGTGATATAGAAATGCATAGTATGCCGTATTCGATCTTGCATGTTATTTCTGATACAATCAAAATTACCACAACAAAAAATGAGTTAGTTAACATAATACTGATTAAAAAACAAGAGAATAATGGACTATAACAAATTGAATTAGGTATACCGAGTATTAGAAATATCAAACATTTGATGTAAGTTTTGTATATATATAGATCTCACAGGTAAGAAGATTTATATTTCATACTATTTTCAAAACAAGATTAGATATAATTATTATTGACAATGTTGCTGATTATTGACCTTTCAATATTTTGTAGCCATTGCTTAATTTTACGTTTGAAAAATCCATGATTTTTTATAGTTCTGAGTTGAATGGGTATGTAATTGAATAATTTTGCACTTAGAAAAATGAAGCTTCTTTGACCAATACTCTTTTCACATTGGGGAATTTTGACACTTGTTGTCTTGTTGTCTTTGACGAGTGTCGTAATCATGTTCGACAGGGTGGAGTTTTATTTTCTTAGAATGTGAATCATTTAAGATTTATTGGCAGTATAGCAGCCGAATATCCAATATTTTACTATCTTTGTATAATTCATCGCTAGATCAAGTTCTCTTTTTTCGGTATATTAGTCTCAATATCCATTTTTGTAGTACATTCACCTTATTCAAATGAATGTCATTTACTCCCCCCCATCCAATGATTCCATAGGTAAGTTGTGTTTGAATAAGGGCGTAGTATACAGATTTCAAGTGCTCTATGTCAAGAAATTCTCTGAGGAGTTTGAATCTACCGAGAAATCCTCTAATTTTTTTCCCCAGATTGGACATTTGTAAGTCCCATCGCAAATGTCTATCAATAATTATCCCCAGATATTTGACAGATTCTGCTTCTGGTATTGATGTATTTTGATCAATTTTCAAATTTCCCAATTGTGGTAAGTTACTAACATATGATGTGAACGAAAGTTTTTCTATATTTGGAGTCAATTTGTTTAGTTGAAACCAGTATTTTATTGTTTTGAAATCTCATTCTACTTCTTGTTTCAACGCCATCCATGTATCTGATTGATAGAATATTGCGGTGTCATCCGTAAAGCTTGATTGATTGATTGATTGATTAATGGCAGAATGATCAGTCAGGGTTTGAAGCCCAAAACACTGCAGCCTTTGGGCCTATTGTATTCCTGATCATGCTGTTGACTTAGGTGAACAGGTTCGCAACCTTGATGAGGTTTAGCAGCCTCTTCACCAGATCATTCTTTGAAAATGCCTCTTGAGAGTTTACTGCTCCCAGAAGGTTGTATCTCCAACGCGCTAGTGCTTCGCACTCCAGTATTACATGGGTGGCAGTTTCCTCCTCCTCATTGCATAGTCTGCATATGGGTTCGTCTGTATAGATGCCCATTTGATGCATATGTTTCCTCAAGGGGCAGTGACCGGTTATTAGTCCCGTCACTTGTTTGATCTGACTTCTGTTTAGGCTCAGAATGTCGTTAGTCACTGTTTTGGACAGTGTTCCAACCATTAGTTTACTGTGTCTTTGTCCTGGGACATTGTTCCAGTATGCCTGATGTCTTTCTTGCATCCACCTTGCCAGCCAGCCGCGAATTGAGGTTTTGGGGATACCGAACACAGGTTCCGGCCCCATAAACAACGTCGCAGACCCCTGCCGGGCAAGAGCGTCAGCTGCTTCATTGCCTTCAATTCCCTTATGCCCTGGCACCCATTGAAGAGTTACCTTGTTGTGGTTAGCCAGGGTTAGCAGGCTTTGAAGGCAATCCCAGACCAATTTTGATCTGATTTTATTGCATGTTAGAGATTGAATGGCCGCCTGACTATCTGAGCATATGAGGATTTGTTTACCTCTGTATCCTCTTACTATATTCTCTCTCAGGCATGCCTCAATAGCATGCACCTCTGCCTGGAATACTGAAGCATACCTCCCCAAGGAAGCACACATCCTGGTTCTGGGTCTATCTCCATATATTCCGGCTCCCGTGCCCTCATCAGTCTTAGAACCGTCAGTGTACCATACTAACGTGCCTTCCTGACAGTTAGTCAAGACCCTTTCATCCCAGTAGAGCTGAGTGTTGAAGGGTCTGTAATAGTTATTTCTAGGCAGCATTTTGTCCCTTCCCATGTCCATTAGTGGGCTTGAAACTTGGCTGATTATTTTTGTATGTCCCAGGGAGTCACCCCGAGCATACCAGTTGCCGGTACACTCCAGTCTGTATGCCCCCATCCTCGCTTCCGCCCTGATGAAGATTTCAAGAGGTGGAATATTGAGTATGGTTTCCATAGCAGCGGTAGGAGTGCTGCGCATAGCACCTGTGATGCAGAGACAAGCTAATCTCTGGAGTTTTGAAAGCTCCATTATAGCTGATCTCTGTTCAGTCTTAGGCCACCAGACAAGCGATCCATATACAATCATTGGTCTCACCACAGCAGTATACAGCCAATGTACCATGCGTGGTTTCAGTCCCCATGTGTTACCAATCGCTCTCCGAGAAGCCATTAGTGCCATTTTGCCTTTGCTGACAGTTTTTCGCAGTTGAGTATTCCAGGTTAGCCTAGCATCTAGGGTTACTCCCAGATACTTAACCTCCTGTGTCATACTTAGCTGTGTGTCAAAAAGTCTGGGAACTTTTAGTTTGTCCAGTTTCTTCTTTTTCGTGAAGGCCACAAGTGCAGTTTTACTAGGATTGACCCTGAGGTCTGCCTTTCTGCACCAGCCCTCTACTATCTTCAGGGCTCTCTGCATCAAGTCTGAAATAATTTCAGGATGCTGCCCCTCTACTAGAATGACAACATCATCTGCATACCCCTGTGAGTAAATTCCTACATTGTTTAGTTTTTTCAGGAGTTCGTCAATAACCAGATCCCACAGCAGGGGAGAAAGAACTCCTCCCTGTGGGCAACCCCTAGAAATCGTCACCTCCATGGTTTCACCAAGCAATGTGGATTCCGCTGTTCTGTTGTGTAGCATGTTTTTTATCCACCGACATGTGGTGTCTTCCACGCCACGCTCAACAACCGCTGCTACCATGGATATGAAGGGTGTGTGGTCGAATGCCCCTTCAATATCCAGGAAAGCCGCAAGAGCTATGCTCTTGTTGCTTATTGCGGCCTCAAGTTTCCCCACCAGTTGATGAAGTGCCGTTTCACAGGATTTTCCCGATTGATATGCATGCTGGTTTTTATGTAGTGGCCTTTCAATGAGAAAGTTTTCCCTGATATGCATTTCAATTAACTTCTCCATCACCTTCAACATGAATGATGATAGTGTTATCGGCCTGAACGCCTTAGCCTGAGAGTAATCTCTTCCAGGCTTTGGGATGAAGACGATCCTCGCTCTCTTCCATGCAACCGGAATGTACCCCGTTGCCAGGCTTGCTCTCAATCCGTAAAGCTTAGAGTAGCTCCCTTCAGGTTCATAGGTAGTAAGCTATTTATATATATAGTGAACAGAACTGGTCCAAGAACTGTTCCTTGAGGTACTCCGTAAGATACTTTCCTCGGTTGACTGATGATACCGTCTATATCGACGTGTTGTTGACGATCCGACAGGTAGTTTTCTAAAAGTTGATATGTTTGTCCTCTTATACCATATATCTTCAAGTTCTTCAACAAGGTTTCATGGCAAACCGTATCGAAAGCTTTAGAGAGGTCGATGAAAACACATAATGCGGGTTTATTGGAGTCGATTGCGTTATATATCAATTTTGTCAGTGATCTAATTGCATCGTCGGTTGACCTTCCCTCCCTAAAGCCATACTGATTTTCAGAAAAATATATATAACTTTCTGAATTTTTTGCAGATTTTCGCCAGACAGTGCCATATTAGTAACGGCAGGTGATAATGGAGCGATATGTATTTGGGATTTGGTTCATAGGAGTTTAATCAAGTGAGTAATGATAAAAAAAAGGGTAAAAAAATCAGTTGTTGTTTTTTATTATTCTGCAATGAACATGTTGATTTCATGGTGTGCTACCACGCATCTTTGTGGACGTCACAGCGAGTAAAACAATTGGTCAGCTTATGTTCCGCCTCTGTCTCAATATTGACAAGATATCGTCCATGTTTCGCGATTCGACATCGGTAATTTGGATTCGTGATTTTGTGAATAGTTTTGTCGCGTTTACAAGCGCCTAGCTGGACCAGGGAATCTTTCAAACATCAAGGTCAAGTGACGTCACCCACAACACATGATATTAGAAATTTATTCCTTCTTTATATTGAGAAACTACGATTACTGCAAGTAAAGCGATAGCTTGGTGGTCTGTGTATCTGACTTCCACGGTGGTGACTGGAGTTCAATCCCTGCGAGGCGTCAATTTTTTTTCTCACTCATTTGATTTTTTTCAAAATATACATTTCAGGAAAGAATGTTCATTAATTTCATTCATTTGGCATTTGCCCTCTGTGAAATTTCTAGTTCCTCACCCATTCTCCTCAAATAATGATCGACTGTTTCCAGAACGATATTCGACCACGAAGCACAGATTAACAAACCTTGTTAATCTGTGCACGAAGGTACCACCTAAGCTCTAGCCTTCACCCCCGAATCGCAGTACCTGCTCCAATAGTCACAAAACTGTTGTGCAGGTGGTTAGTCGGTACCTGGCTTCAATTCAATCACAATTTGGCATTTGCCCTCTGTAAAATTTCTAGTTCCTCACCCATTCTCCTCGAATAATGATCGATTGTTTTCAGAACGATATTCTACCACGAAGACATCACGCAAGCTCTAAGCCTTCACCTCCCATTCGCAGTATCTGATCCTATGGTCACAAAATCATTGTGCAGGTGGTTAGTCGGTACTTGGCTTTAATTCTACCACGATTTGGCATTTGCCCTCTGTAAAATTTCTAGTTCCTCACCCATTCTCCTCGAATAATGATCGATTGTTTCCAGAACGATATTCGACCACGAAGGTACCACCTAAGCTCTAGCCTTCACCCCCGAATCGCAGTTCCTGCTCCAATAGTCACAAAACGGTTGTGCAGGTGGTTAGTCGGTACCTGGCTTCAATTCAATCACAATTTGGCATTTTCCCTCTGTGAAATTTCTAGTTCCTCACCCATTCTCCTCGAATAATGATCGATTGTTTTCAGAACGATATTCTACCACGAAGACATCACGCAAGCTCTAAGCCTTCACCTCCCATTCGCAGTATCTGATCCTATAGTCACAAAATCATTGTGCAGGTGGTTAGTCGGTACTAGAGTCCCTGTATATACCTTAGACAAGAGTCCGGACACAAAACTGACAGCCGTTGGGGTTTTTAATATTTTGTTTCATTTGGTTTGCCCACCTGACAATGTGACGAAACACCATAGCCGTCCCGCCCGCTTTTTTTAATTATTTCGAATTTCTGTCACTGTCACAATTTAGCATTTCAAATTATTTCAATGTCCTGCTGCGTACATTATTGCAATAATTCATTGGAAAACGGATTCAAGTTATTCAATTTTCCGAATGATCCTTTAAATATAATGTCATGGAAGAATGCAATGAAACGTCCAGAATGGAAAATTAATTTCACGAAATCCGCAATATGTGAGGTAAATATTCAAATTTTCTTGTGAAAACAGTACAAAAAAGATGAATTTTAGGCCCATTTTGATAGAGATTTTTTCGAGCTGATGGATTTCAAATTGAAAGAGAGTCTGCTGTGCCGTCAATTTATGAAAAAGAGACGTTCAAAGGAAATAGTTACGTCGTCATCGTATTGGGAATCACTGAATGATGAAAATGAGAATGAGATGATGCGGAAAGAAATTGAAAGTTTAAAATCAAAACAAGAAGATTTAGAGAAATTGCAATGTGCTATGTCATCAGTCTACGGTGTTTTTAATTTAGATCAAATTCAAAATTTACAGGTGATTGTAGACTGCAGGAAGAGGTGGGAAACCGACACAATCAAAAATATATTGAAACAATTATATATCTTCTATTTTTTTATATCCCAACAGAAAACAACTATATTTCCTTGGCTATATGTGATACCACGTAGAACATTCAAGTTATCTTTCTTAAATGAAGTGAAGAAATATCTGATGACAAAAATTTGCATTAGTCATCACAGGAATTGATTATGAAAATTACCGATTCTAAATTTGAACACCCTGTTGTTCATTATTTGAAAATCTAATATTTATTCTAGTTGAAATAGACCTATTTCTCACTTCTACCTACGGCTATGAACGGTTTGACAAATAATCTAACCCTCAAAATTATTTCTGACAATCATTGATACCAGGGGAATTGAAAAGACAGAGCTCGATATATATGTCTTATTCCTTTATTCAATCATCAATGCATTTTTTGAAAACAGAGAAGGACAGAAATATAGCTGTGTCCGGACTCTTGTCTAAGGTATATACAGGGACTCTAGTCGGTACTTGGCTTTAATTCTACCACAATTTGGCATTTGCCCTCTGTGAAATTTTTAGTTCCCCACCAATTCTCCTCGAATAATGATCGATTGTTTCCAGAACGATATTCGACCACGAAGGTACCACGCAAGCTCTAGCCTTCACCCCCGATTCGCAGTACCTGGTGACGGCGTGCTCGTTGGAGGTGGTGCGCGTGTGGCTCGTCCGCGACCTGGTCGACACCGCTGCCGACGCCCTGTGCTGCCCCCTGGCCAGGGTGGACAACGTGCAGGACATGGGGGTGCTGTCGGTCGACGTGTCCAGACGGATCACTTTCGACGGTGAGAATTCGTGACATTTCTTGTTGGGAGTTTTTTTTCTCCGAATTTAGACTTTTCTCCTTGAATGTGGACTTTTTTTATGAATTTGAACTTTATTTGCTGAAATCAGACTGTTTTTCCTGATGTACGACTTTTTCCTTCAACTAATTTTTTTTTTCGGAATTCAATTTTTTTTTATGAATGCAAACTTTATTCTCTGAAATCAGACTGTATTCTCTGAATTCACACTGTTTCCTCTGAATCCAGACTTCTTTCTTCAAAAACAGACCTGCTTTCCCTAAATTCAGACATTTTTCTTCAAATAAATATACCGGGTGTCCCATTAAGCCTATCGAGCGGCTTTATCTCAGAAATTATTGGTCCAACAGTTTTAGGAAAAAAACTATCTTGTGTAAAGCAGTCAAGAAAAATTCAACTAAAATAGTTTCAAGTTCCTAAAATGACCGCTAGGTGGCGTTATACAGATTGAAAATTTAAAAACTCATTTTTCTTGAAGAAGTCAAATACAAACGTAGGTATTTTTTAAAGTATTCTGCATATCCTAGTCAATACCTAAAACTTTTGTATAACACTTTTTGTTCTAACTCTTCAAACAACGACAACAAAAACAAAAGAAAAACGGTATACAAAAATCACCATAACTTCGGTTTGTCTTATCCGATTCAAATAAACTTTTGATCGTTTGATAGGTAATTCAAGGTAGAATAAGAATACGATTTTAAATATTCTGGCAAATTCCTCAACAAACCACCAGATGTCGCTTTTTGTAATTGTCACCAATTATTGATGATTTCTTAAAAATTTTAAATGTAATGACATATTTTTTAATAAAGTGTCTTATTCTGCAATAGATTTAGAAAAGAATGCCGCAAACCGGAAGTCTCTAGTGTATTTTAAACAAAAGTTATGAATAAAAATGTGTTTATAAGATTACGAGCGTAATAAATGCATATTTTTTCAATATCAAGAAGGCTATAAATACAAAATAAATGGCAAATCTGTCAAGGAGATGATGAAATCTGTCAACATTTTGCCGTTGAACAATCTTATGCTAAGATTTTAGTGTTTAATTATCAAAAAACCTTTTTTTGTTAAATAATGTCTCACACTGTTGCAGAAGCATAATATGATATGCTTGCAATATTTTTTCGAAGTTTTGAAAATCCAGTGATTGCCTCGCGAGAATACAGTTTGGTATATCCAGAACGAAGGCCACATTCCCGAATGGTATTTCTTCGCCTGTCTCGACGCTTAAGGGAAACCGGAAGTGTTTTGCCAATACCACCGACCAATAGACGTCGAAAAGCAAGAAACGAAGATAACATAATTAATGTTCTTGCTTACGTTGAAGCACATCCTCACTCCAGTATCAGAGACATGTCAAGAGATTTGGGTGTATCAAGATCAACAATCCAACGTATTTTAAAAGATCACAAAATGCATCCGTATCATGTTCAACTGCATCAAGCACTGACAGCTTTAGATTTTGACAGAAGGCTGGAATTCTGCGAATGGATGCGTAATATGTTAACAGAAAATCCAAATTTTTTGTCCAGTATTTTATGGACCGATGAGGCAACGTTCACCAGTACCGGTAAGGTAAATTTGCATAACAGCCATTACTGGGCGGAAAATAACCCACACTGGATGATTGAAATTGATCAACAACATAAATTCTCTGTTAATGTTTGGTGCGGTATTATCGAGGGCAAAATTATTACGTACATTTTCGAAGAAAATTTAAATGGGGCAAGATATTTGGACTTTTTAGTCAACCACTTACCAGCTTTATTAGAAGATGTTTCTTTGGAAACCCTCAGGAACATGTGGTTTCAACATGACGGTTGTCCGGCGCATTATGCTCGCAATGTAAGGGAGTATTTGGATAACCAGTTTCCTGCTAGATGGATTGGAAGGGGTGGTCCATTTGCTTGGCCACCTAGGTCTCCCGATTTAACTGTCTTAGACTTTTACTTATGGGGAAGAGTAAAAGATGCAGTTTATACGACTAGATCAACAACGCGAGAAGACATGATTTTGCGCATACAAAATGCAATACAGTCAATTTCTGTAGCAGAGATAGAAACTGCTGTATCATCGACCCGACGAAGATTTGATATGTGTATTGAAAATAATGGCGGCCATTTTGAACATCTCAAATGAAAACTTATAGCCTTAAGCAGTAGGTAGGTACCCAAGTTATTTGTTTTGTATCTAGCCTTTAATTTGTTTGTCCTTTTCATTTATAAGATTGTAATAAAAAAACAACATTTTAAAACTTTATGAGTGAAATTTCATAATCAGATTCAAATTTCCTCCTGACAGTGAACTTATTGTCACATTTTAATTTTGAAATTATTTTAAAAATATCTGACTACCGGTTTGCACCCGTGTTTTGTTAGGCTCAGCATTGGAATATTTGGTTTCAGCATGCTCGCCATGTTATAATTGTTATTTACAATTCAAGTTACAAGTACATTAGGATTTCACCGGACGATTCTGTGTATGACGAGTTTGACACAAAAAAAGTATTATTCTGACATTCTTGAAATGGACAATTATTTTGTATTTATAGCCTTCTTGATATTGAAAAAATATGCATTTATTACGCTCGTAATCTTATAAACACATTTTTATTCATAACTTTTGTTTAAAAAACACTAGAGACTTCCGGTTTGCGGCATTCTTTTCTAAATCTATTGCAGAATAAGACACTTTATTAAAAAATATGTCATTACATTTAAAATTTTTAAGAAATCATCAATAATTGGTGACAATTACAAAAAGCGACATCTGGTGGTTTGTTGAGGAATTTGCCAGAATATTTAAAATCGTATTCTTATTCTACCTTGAATTACCTATCAAACGATCAAAAGTTTATTTGAATCGGATAAGACAAACCGAAGTTATGGTGATTTTTGTATACCGTTTTTCTTTTGTTTTTGTTGTCGTTGTTTGAAGAGTTAGAACAAAAAGTGTTATACAAAAGTTTTAGGTATTGACTAGGATATGCAGAATACTTTAAAAAATACCTACGTTTGTATTTGACTTCTTCAAGAAAAAGGAGTTTTTAAATTTTCAATCTGTATTACGCCACCTAGCGGTCATTTTAGGAACTTAAAACTATTTTAGTTGAATTTTTCTTGACTGCTTTACATAAGATAGTTTTTTTCCTAAAACTGTGGGACCAATAGTTTCTGGGATGAAGCCGGTCGATAGGCTTAATGGGACACCCGGTATATATAGTGTGACCCACTTCTAATGGAAACACCCCTGTATCTTACGTAATCATTGGGTAAGGATCCTGAAATTTGCTGGGAGCAAGAGATATACCAAAAATGCACTCTATGACAAAGTGAGGTAATCTTCAGTGACATACACTGCTTGCCAACAACCATGGAACCACCCCAATTTCCGGAAAATGCTATTAGGAGTCAAAATAGCTCAAAAATCACTTCAGATTCAGAATCAGGACGCCCGATTCACTAACTATTCATATTTTTCCTGGAGAATTTTCAGTTCTGAAACATCAAATTTTGTTGCAATTTTTACGGAAGCACCCCTGTATCTTACGTAATTGACTTTATCTTTAGACTTTCCCTTCCCCCTGCAAATTTCAGAACCCTACCTCAATAATTACGTGAGATACGGGGGTGCTTCCATGAGAAATGGGACAAAATTTAATTTTTCTGAACTGAAAATTTCCTAGGAAAACTATGGATAGTTAGTGAACTGTGCGTCTTGATTCCGGATCCGAAGTGATTTTCAACCTATTTTGACTCCTAATATCATTTTCCGGAAATTGGCTGTTGGCGAGCAGTGTATATCACTGAAGATTACCCCACTTGGTCATAAAGTGCATTTTTGGTATATCTCTCGCTCCAGCAAATTTCAGGATCCTAACCCAACGATTACATAAGATACAGGGGTGTTTCCATTAGAAGTGGGTCACACTGTATATTTTTTAATTCAAACTTTTTTATATGAACTCAGACTTTTTTCTCAAATTCAGACCCATTTCTAAGAATTTAAACTTTATTCTCTGAAATCAGACTGTTTTCTCTGAATTCAGACCGTTTTCTCTGAATTCAGACTTTTATCTTCTAATTCAGACCTGTTTGTCCCGAATCCCAATTTCTTTCTTCAAATAAATATAATTTTTTCAGAATTTAAACTTTATTATATGAATTCAGACTTTATTCTCTGAAATCAGACTGTATTCTCTGAATTCACACTGTTTCCTCTGAAATCAGACGTCTTTCTCCGAATATAGACCTGTTCAGTCTTCAAATTTCAATGTCAACGAATGATTTGATTAACTTTATGTTTATTTAACCCTCATGGTTCGAAATTACTGATATACCGTATGTTCTACTCGTGACACTATAAAGGGTGTTAACAAATAAGTGTCACAACGGAAAACTGTAGATTCCTCATGAAAAAAGGAACATTTTTTAGTTACCCTTTCGGATGTTTTTTCCGGGCTACCGTTATCAAGATACAGGGCGTCAAAAAATACAAAAAATACTGTTTTTTGCTACTATATCAAGAACCGTTTGAGCTATGGAGTTAAGCCTTCGCACACACTTCATCATCAATAATGACTACTTTTAGGGCTCTTGATCAATTTCCTTGGACATGCCAGTGGAGGAGAATTCAACGCCTCGTAAGGGTTTAACCCACCAAACATTTATGCCACTGGAGAAATTGTAATTTTCAGAGTAGATTCTGAAGCGCCAATATTTTTCACACCAAAATCGTCCTCTTGTCTCAATGCTCTGAAGTGAACAGTTTCTGCGAAAAATGGCTCTTTATGATTAAGAACATACAAAATCCTGATGGGTATCTCAAAAAATCGTCTTAAAATCCACTGGAAATAAACACCTCAGAACTGTCTAATGATAATTTGTTCAATCAAATGTCAGGTTCTTGAGTATGCTGGTCTCGATGCTGGTTTTCAAATTGTTAAGTTTATCAAGTGTTGTAATTTGTGTTTAATTAAACTGAACATTTTTGATTTTTTGACGCCCTGTATCTTGAAAACGGAAGCCCGGAGAAAAATTTTGATGAGGAAAGAAATGTTCCTTTTATCATGAGGAATCTACAGTTTTCCGTTGTGATACTTATTTGTTAACACCTTGTATAATAGCTCACCTCTCACCCAAGGTGTATAATATACTATTTTTCCAGAGAACGACCCCCTGATCCGCAAATACAACCTAGCCACCAGCGGCAACACCAACGAAATCCGCCTGTGGACGATCACAACGAAATCCCTACTCAAACAAAAAACCGCCTGCGCTTCGAGCACCAACGAAGTCCTCGTCGAACCGTTCGACGTCTACGACGGCCACGCGTCCACCGTCACCAGCGTCCGTTTCAGCCATTCCGGCGCCTACTTGATCTCGACCAGTCTCGACAAGCTGGTCAAGGTGTGGGACGAGCAGGGGAACTGCGTCGCTTCTTTGCAGGGCCACGACAGATACGTCAATTGCGCTGCAATATCACGTGATGCCACATTACTAGTGTCAGGTGGGTAGAAAAATATGCGTCTGAATTGTATTTTAGGTACTGTTTCTGTTCGTCGAGTCTCATCAGTCCATATCGGTCTGCTGACGGCTAGGACAGCTCATCTCTCTATCCGAGTGTGTCGTTCCACTTTATCTCGCATATCTCCCTCGAATATTCTCTTCATAGGTCCCAAATCGTCACTCTTCTTCAACGATTCCGGCGCCTACTTGATCTCAACCAGTCTGACAAGCTGGTCAAGGTGTGGGACGAGCAGGGGGACTGCGGGTCACGACAGATACGTCAATCGCGCTGCAATATCACGTGATGCCAACTTACTACTTACTGTCAAATCATGAAAGTCATCCATATCTCAAAGTGGTCCAATGTAATTTCAAAAGAGAAATGAAAGAAAACAACACAAAGTCGGTGGGTAGAAAAATATGTATAATAATCAAGATGATGGAGAGCCCTAATTTCGCGTTGAACTCACAACCTCTGGGTTGATAGACAGGTACAGATACTGCTGGAGACGTTCTGTATTGTCACGTGTAAGACTTCACAATAATTGAGACAATAATGTACATTTTTCAAATAGATCCTTTGAAATTTTATTATTTCCAAGGCTCACTAACAAAACAATCAACTAACACAAAGGAGATCGAGACATTATATTTAGGAATAACTTTCAGATTGACTTATTTTATTCAGATATTTTCTGCTTTCATACTGAATTTTGTTAATAAATTTTGAGAGAATCAATTGAATTTAAGACGAGTTCCTTCTTTCGTTCATATTAGGAGGGATTTTTCGTAGACTTTCGAGTGATAAAAAGATTTTGTTGTAGATCTGAATTGTTATGGCGATATATAATTAAGCTATAATTCATACTCTGAATGTTAACAAAATTGTCACTCAATACAGTTTTCCATTCACTCTTTGCCAAGCAATAATTCAATATAGTTTATGATTCTCATTAATTTTTTGTGACATTAATTCGCGCGAGTGAGATAATTATTTCGATGTGAATCTCTAATGTTATGATAATAATTCACTCTTTGAATATTAACAAAATTCACAATAACATGCTCTTTCCATTACTCATTTGAGCTGAATAATAATGTATTGATCTTTTAAGCCAATCAGATTGAAGTCACTCCCTCTTTGCAGTTCTCATAAATACTCAAGTTTTTATCAACGTCAATTTTGTCTCGCAATTCGATCCTGTGAGTGACCAGTGAATTCGTTTTACAAATGTACCAACTCATTCTATACACTTGTTAAATTTTATTCATACTGCACTCAATTTAAATAGCCCAGTTATTTCATTCGAATTATCCCTCGTAGGCGCATAATGAAACTTATTCTTGTTCAAGACAATTATTGTTCGCTGTACTGAAGTCAAAACAATTCAGTGCTTCACATGATAATTTTGTCTAGGATACCTACCCGTTCATTACATAACCGATAACCTTCTACATTATATTTCAAGATTCTACAGGTTCTAATGACAGCAAGTGATCGTGTGGGACTTGAAGAAGGATTGCTATGATTTGTTAAGTCAGTTACAATGTCTTGCTTTTCGATATGCCACTCACTTGTGTGAACTCCATAGTTTTCATTGTTTTCACGCTAGAGGCAGCACTTGTGTTAATTTTTTTTTCAAATCATCTGAAGGTTCTACAGGTTTCAATGACAGGCAAGTGATTGTGTGTGATTTTTTAGGTTATGTGTCTCATTGTTTCCACGTTTTAGAGAGCACGTGCGCTCAATCCTTCCTACTTGTGACCGCCTCATAACCGATAACTTTTTACATTATTTCAAGGTTCTATAGGTTCCAATGAAAGACAAGTGAGATTGTGTGGGACTTGAAGGACAACCTCATGTTGGACTCGATGCTGAACCATTTCAAGTTTTGAGGCAATGACAATGTTCTGCTTTTTTAAATGCCAATATCTGTGATTGTTCTCACGTTTTAGACATCAGCACTTTTGCTCAATCCTTTCTACTTCTGTCGCACAAGTTATGATGCTTTTCACATTATTTCAAGGTTCTACAGGTTTCAATGACTGGCAATCGATTATGTGGGACTTCACCGTGGACTCAGTCGGTCTGAGTCAATTCAAAAGATCAGTTCATTCATTTCCAACTGTATTTTCATCTCTCATCAAATAGACGAGATAACCTCAAGTAATACTCGAATACTCATGCTTCACAAGTAAACCAGAAGTTTATACCGTGACGTCATGATATAGTGAACCTGGAACCTGGTTTGCCTGGTTAGGTTTGAAGAAAAATGGCTAATGTGTAAACTCCAAAGTTTTTATTGTTTCCAAGTTTCAGACAGCACGTGTGCTCCATCCTTTTACTTCTACCACATAACCGATAACATTTCACTATTTATATTTCTACAGATTCCAATGGCAGGCAAATGATCGTGTGGGACTTGAAGGATAATGGTTAACTTCACCGTGGACTCAGTCTGCTTTTTTGTATGCCACTATGTGCAAATTCCAAAGTTATTATTGTTTCCACATTTGAGACAGCACGTGTGCTCAATCCTTTCTACTTCTACCTCATAACCGATAGCATTTTACATAATTTCAAGGTTCTACAGGTTCCAATGGCAGGCAAATGATCTTGTGGGACTTGGAGGTTAATGGTTAACTTCACCGTGGACTAGGTCTGCATTTTTGTATCCCATTATCTGCAAACTCCTAATTTATTATTATTCCCACACTTTAGACAGCACGTGTGCCCAATTCTTTCTATTTCTACCTCATAGCCGATAACCTTTTATACATTATTTCAAGGTTCTACAGGTTCCAATGACAGGCAAGTGATCGTGTGGGACTTGAAGGATGTAATCTCATCTTGTACACGGAACTGAACCATTCCAAGTTCAGGATTGCTATGACGTTATTGAGGCAATTACAATGTTCTGCTTTTTCGTATGCCACTATGTGTTAACTTCTAAGTTCTTATTGTTTCCACGTTTTAGACAGCACGTGTGCTCAATCCTTTCTGCTTCCGCCTCATAACCAATAACATTTTACATTATTTCAAGGTTTTACAGGTTCCAATGACAGGCAAGTGATCGTGTGGGACTTGAAGGGTATAACCTCACCTTGCACACGGAACTGAACCATTCCAAGTTCAAAATTGCTATGACGTATTGAGGCAATGGGCTTATATCACAAAAAAAATGTATTTCATAATTCGATAGAACTCGCCCAAACTAGCTCACCACCGCAAACCGTTTCTTCCTGATCGAATTATGTCGTCAATCATTATTTATGTATAAAAGGATCATTATAAACATGGTTTGAGTTAAAAGTTCTATAAAGGTGTACACGCCCATTACAATGTTCTCCTTTTTTGTATGCCACCATGTGTAAACTTCGAAGTTTTTAGTTTCCACGTTTTAGACAGCACGTGTGCTCAATCCTTACTACTTCTACCTCATAACCGATAACCTTTCACATTATTTCAAGGTTCTACAGGTTCCAATGACAAACAAGTGATCGTGTGGGACCTGAAGGGCAATCTCACCTTGGACTCGGAACTGAACCATTTCCGGACGATCTCTGCCTTCGCCGACGGTGTTTCAGAGAACCAGATGGCGGAGAACGTCGACCCCAACGGCAATAAGGTGACTTTGCTGGAGAAGTTGGACGATGTAGCAGAAGGTACCATCAACAGTTGCAGCTTCTACGGGAACAGTCTTCTGGCTACAGGATCAGGGTAAGAAGAAACTGCAGGTTTCTGTTCAATGAGTATTCGTTGATGAGTTTCACAATGTTGATATTGTGAAAATTATTGGTCATGTTTTTCTTCTAATTTTCATAATGTCAGTTTGACTAATGGGTGTCTCTTAAGTGAGGTAAAATATCGGTAGGCGTGATTTTGTTTTCAAATGTTCACAGGATAATTTTCAAGAAAAATTCCATACTATTGATGAAATACTTCTAGATGAAACGGTTCTAAATTCTACTTTTTCAAAAGTTTTACAAGGTGAATCACTAGCAAGTGGTAATTAATGGTACTCGTACCTTATATTTCATCTAATTCAGGATAGATAAAGAAAGTTTCGGCTTTTTAATATGTTTCATCACTAATATTGAAATCAGTAATTTGAAAAATAAGGCAACTATAATTGAACAAGATTGTTGTAGGAGTAATAACCAAGATATTTTGTAGATCTGATAAATTGCCATCTACAAAGGATAGTAAAAACAATTTAAGAACAAATTGAAAGTGTTGTTTTATACAGAATGAGTGACCAAATATCGTGCCAACAAACATCTACATACTTAATCATTATGGCCTTTTGACTTGGTTTTCTGTATCCATTGAGAGTTACAGATCAGTTCAGTGCTTCAAAATTCCAATCAAATCTAGAAAAAAATGCAATTTAAAAACCTTAATTTTTTTTTAATATGGTGGTTCAAGGAAGTCATTTGAAATTTCATTCTTAATGTATCCAATTCATAAAGCAATGAGCATGCATTTTTAATAGAAAGCAAGGTTGGGAGTTTTCATAAGGATATAGAATTCAATTAAATTGATATATCCACCCCAAGTTCCGCTTCAGTAAAAGTTGCATTATTACGAAGATATTATCAATTGAACATTATATGAATTCTAAATTTGATCACGCTCCCCCTACTACCGTCCACAGTAGACAGTAAAATTTTGTTTGTCTAGTGCTAATCATCAAATCTGCTTTTCCATTCGTTTGTTTTTCTGTGATGTAGCGCACATTTACGAAAATATTGAACTTGTTGACATACTCAATTCATGGGGAGTGTCGCCAAAATGCTGCAGTAGAATTTCATTGGATAACATGATATATCCAGCAGGTGGATATGGCGTAATGGCCCAACTTCTTGGCCTGCATGCTCCCCGGACCTAAATCCTTGCGATTTCTCCCTTTGAGGTCTTTTGAAAAACTTGGTGTATCGTGACAGAGACGTGAATGTGGTAAAAGAGTTGAAACAGCGAATAGAAAACACTCGTGAAGTGTTTCGTGGGGAAAGAAATAGTATTTTTGCCTAATGTTGCGCTGAGCAAGACTGTGCACTGTGCGTACATCGAACGAATGGTGATAACTTCGAAAAAATTTTGTAAGTATACCAGGACCGTAAAAGGGTCAATACTATCGCTGAGTTTTTGAACTTAGTTTTTTTGCAATGATTTTAATATGGACAATTTTTAGTACTCTCTATTTTGATGAGTTCCACATCCTCTTGCCTCACCTTCGAGATCGGCTTGTTAATTTTCTCATCATCGGAAAGGCCTTTCACAAGAACTTCTATTTCATTTATCCTCAGCACTTAACAAGCATTCTTTCGATTTTCAAATAAATATTGAGAAAAGTGTGCCTTGACTCTTCTTCAAAAACCATTAAACGTCAGATCATCTAGGCACTGAAATATACACCACTCCACTCTGAGTTACTATGGACTTTCCTAGTATCATATATTACTCTGGCCTGGCGTCTAAATGCCGTCAGGAGGGCACGGAGTCAAGCCACAGAGCGGGTAGCAGGTGGCGGATAGCGAGCCGCCCCTCTTACACGAGGGGCCCCGGACCATGACTCCCCCAAGCCAAGGTGTTGACCGTGCCGAAGGCTGCGTGGCACTAGGGGCGAGTAGTGTCTCGAACGGTCCCTCCGGGATACCAGGCCGCCTCCCGGAGTATGCAGGCCTTACTGCGGCATGCGGGGCTCTGCTGCAGCCGACCACCCTTTCCCTAGCTGATCGTGGGATTCAAACATGAATAAAATTGATACTAACACTGAAACTAACGAGGCCGGTGATCCTCCGATATCACCGAAACCAGCAGAACTCGAGGCTAGCCTAGAAGTACCTACGTCTAGCGGTGCAGTAGAAGAGGAACCTCCGAAGTGTCCTCCTAGACTGGCAAAGAAGGGCTTCAAATATTTTATGGCACACGGGCATGACGTCGAAGAAGCACGGGCATTGAGCGCGCAGCGGATAGAGAAGAAAACGACTTTGGCCTTGGCAATCATGCATTTGTGCTTCCCGGACGATCGTCTGACAACCGAACAACTGGAAGCTGTGCAAGACGAAATCCTTAAGCAGGTGGTGCTACAGAAGGGACAGGAAGTCAAGCCAAAGTTCGTCGGCACCGAGTTCAAGGATGGCTACTTGGTGGTGACCTGCGCCGATGAAGCCACAGTGAACTGGCTGAAGAAGGTGGTGACGGACATACAACTATCGGAAGGCGTTGAACTTTCGATAGTAGACGAGGATGATGTTCCTAGTGTCCAAAAGGTTGTAGGATTCTTTCCTAAGACCCCAAACGAGTCCACCGAGACTATCTTGGACTATATAGCTGCTCAAAATGACAACCTGGACGTAACGAAATGGACTGTGCTCAAAAGAATCGCTGAAAACGATGGCGCTATGATGCAAATGGCCATCGACCTTCCCTCTTTGTTTATCCTCAAAGAAACCGGCTTCATGGTCAATTACAAATTTGGTCAAGTCCATCTGAAAACCATTCCGACTGAACCTAGCAAACTGAAGAACACCCTCGCGACTACAAAGCCATCAAAAGCAAGCATACCCGACTCGTACCTAAATTTCAAAAGGAAGATTATTATTAATCCAACTCCAGAGCCGTCATCTTCTCTGAAGCTGGACCCCTCCAGGAAGGTCCAACTATCCAAGAGTCAAGCTGTGTCGACTTCGACAGGCTCAACGCTGAGAACCAACCCATTTGCGCAGCTCAGGAAGAGACAGTCAGGGGTGAGCAAACCTCCTCAGGGAGAGAGTGTGCGAAGGCCTTCTTCTGCATTGTCCAAGAGACCTTGTGCCCACCGGAGACACAGGAGACCCACAGAGGATCGGGACGTGATGTACGTTAGAGAGGATAGGGACATGTACGTGAGGGAAGGCAGAGAAGTGTATTCCAGGCAGGATAGGGATATGTACGTCAGAGAGGATAGGGATATGTACTTCAGAGAGGATACAGATTCGTACTTGAGGGAGAATAGAGATACGTACGTTAGGGAGGATAGAGATACGATGTATGTCAGGACGAGTGATTACTCTTCGAACAGCTCTGCCGGTTATTCGAGAAGATAACTTGGCCCTCTGTGATAGACAATTGAAATATCGCGAGCTTACTTTGGATATATCTTCACCTTGTAAGGTTTATCCGCAGTGACCTTTACCCAGTGCCAATTCCTTGTAGCTTGATGGTAATAAGGAATCCAAACTAGATGGATACCAATTCATGTAAGTTATTGATACACATTAATATTTATGTTCTGTTGACGTTTTTTGTTGTTCTACAATACAAGATTGTATCTGGCCAAATGTGGCTTGGGTGACCAAGACCCCTTTATTGAGCAACTTATTTATTTTATTGATTCCTAATTTCTTAGCACTACAATTATAATTTATCTATGACACTTTTCAACATGGCTGTATCCAAAACTAATGTTGTGTAGTTCACTTTGACCAACCATGGTCTTCTTTCAGAGATTAATCTTTTGAATAATTGAATATGGATCAGCAGTTCATTCAACCAACTACTTAAGGATCTTGCAAACAACCAGAATTATGTGAAACCAAAAAATGAATATTTGTAATGCCTTCATCTCTCCGAACTTGTGACAATGGATATTTTATGTTCCAGAGAATACAATACTTACCTTGTTTTGAGTCAGTAGGAGTTGAGGTGCCATTGTGTGCAATCATTCCCTTGACATGTACTACTTGGTCAGTTGGATACGCCTCCGCTATGAAACAATTCTGTGGATACTAATGGAGGTGAGTTGGAAAATACTCATTTACCTACGTGTTTATTAATGATAACCTAGTAGACATTATTGGATAGGAGTAAGCCATGATTCATGAGTTGTTGTAGAGAGGTAGACTTAACCTCAGGACATGTATCTGGAACACTGAATTCACAACTGGCATGTTGAAGATGGAGCCCCATTGTAGAGTGTGAATTGAAATTGTAAAGCTGTTGATAAAATCCCAAATTTCACAGTGTAAATATGTATGGATTAAGAGTTGGAAGACAGTGGTGTATTATTTGTTCTATAGTTTAAGATTAATAAGTATAATATGTCGCTATCGATTGATCTTATATTTTGAATAACTTGAGTTGTTTTGTAGTTGCATTCGGAAAATGAGCTGGATTCAATGTCTCTTTCATATTATGTACAGGGTATCCCACATAACATGGGCCACCCCCTTATCTGGTAAACTATTATATATACAAAAAAAAGTTCAGAATAAAAGTTGTATTATTTCTTATGAAATTTATTTTTTAGATACTTTCATTTATACAGGATGGTCCATATGTCTGTGACTTATCACACATACGTTTTTTCAAATAGAATACCCTTTATTTTATCCTAGTTTTAGATAGTACTTCAGAAGACGAGTTCAATGATATATGATAACATGGGTCTGAGATCACCCGTTTCGGATTTATACACGATCTTCTTCAATAAATTGCCAAATTTCGAAGCCCTATAGAAACGTTGCGAATGAAGTTTTCGATTCGCAGTTTCCGCTATGAATTAACAAAGTATGTAAATTATTCTGTTCTATGGTGAAAATTTAGGAATTTTCAATTTGCCAAAAGTGATGACGTATTTTGAAAACCAATAAATATCTCGAGATTTTCAAATGGAACACCCTATATTCCATTCCAAATTTGCATAGAGCTCAGGAAGACGAGTTCAATGATATATCATAACATGTGTCTGATATCACCCGTTTCGGACTTA